CTTTCCCTCGCTTTCTCCGACCTCTCTGTGCACCTCGGTTGTATCGTATCAAGGGAGAAGAAATCCGTGCAGAATCCCTGGAGGCGCTACATGTCGCGCAGCCAGCCGTTCTTCCCTGCTTTCGCTCCGCCACACCGTGTCCCGGCCACGCGCGTGTATACGCGCGGGAACAAAGGGGGGAAAGAATTTCGGAATAATTTTTCTCCGCTTTAACATCCGGCGATATTACAGCGGAAGGCAGCGGGAAAGACAAAACTAAGGTAAATTCATTCTCGCGGTATAGTCGCCGCGCAAATGGAACAATATTTTTCCTTCGTTTCACCTTTTTCTCCTTTATCTGGCCAAATGACCCGCGCGAACCATGAGTTAGACGACACCGGGTATACGTTTTCCACGACAGACTGCGCGTGCAGGTTAGCCCGGCTTCCGCCTGCGCCAGCCTTCTCCTTTCGCTGCCGGACGAAATCGCTTTAACGACGGCCATCGTGGCCGCACCTGCCGCTGAACGATGGCCCGACAAGCTGAATTATAGGGGGACACCTTCACGCCCCTCGCGTCATGTCAACTATATTTTTTACCTTCTTACGGACCGCGTAATTACACCGGTAAGAAAACACGGAAGAGAGGACGTCGCTCGAATTAAGAAAATCGGAGAAGCGTAAACATACCGCGCAAAAATGGAGAGAAATATTAACCTTTAACGCTCCAAGTGTGCCTCTCAGACAGCACCGATGTGCAGCACCCTATTCCAAATGTATTTTTGAAAATTTATTTTTTATATTACTTCTGAGAGGAATAAAGATTGTTTCGAATGACTTTAATATTATTATTCACACGTCGTTGTAGCATTTAAAATCTGACACTTAAAAACTTGCAAGTCGAAGTATGGTGAGAATAAGTTAGAGTTGCGGGTCGATATTCAGAATTAAAAGTCGGAGCGTTAAGGGTTAATACTATTGTGGGGTGACGAGCAACGAAGGACTCTATCTGAGGAATAATATACGACATCAGCTTTGACCTAGGCGTTTAGGATGATACCTGGAGTGCGTACGGGTGAGATATTTATGACTGGGTCGAGTGATTGAGAGAGAAAGCTGTGGATTTGGTTTTATTAGTGCGAATGCAAGTATGTGAGGTCGAGTAATGGCACGAATGTAGATATGTATGTTTTTCAGAAGATCTAGAATGCGTGGTGTTGTGCAGTCGCTATGGATCAGAGTCAATATGTTATAAGGAAGTTCAGTTTATTATAAGAAGCGTGAGAGTGAACAATTACGATATAAGACGCGTGTAATTTATAATTTTATAATAAATATACGATTGTTATACAACAAACTCACAAAAGCTTATGTACGAAAAGAGAGAGTTTTGACTTAACCCTTTGCGACCGAGCAAATTATTGGGCAAATAGCTACCCAATTCTGTTTACAGCTGCGCAGACGTATTATGAAGCAGCTCGCGTACATTTGACTTTCCGAGTGATAAGATATGCGCGATTATAGCATACTAAACGAACAAATGATGAGAAAATCGGAAGAAACACAGTACAAAACAATTAATGCATTTGAAATTTGTACGTCGCTTGGAGGATCAATTAATTGAAGATTTTCGTGACGCTAATTCCAAAAATCCTTCAACCTCTGGAACCGTAGAAAAGCTGAACGGCCTTTTACATATTATTCGGCGAGATGACACAGGAAGCTGTAAAGACCGTGTAGTATGTTCCAATCGGAAAATCAAAGGTGGAAAAAGAGAATCAGGGTATTATTGTGCTATTTGTTCGGCTAAACCAGCCTTGCTCATATGTGATTGCTTCGAACGATAGAATACCATGCACGAATATGAAACGTGTCATACATAAACATAACATAACTAAATATAACAAACAACTAAAAAACATAAGTAAAACGACCGGGAAAGGTTAAGTAAGGGTGCAAGGGCGCGAACGAGGCAGATTGTGTGTAGTCTAGACTTATTGAATAGAGGATCGTGTGTTTGAAAGTTAGAATTCAGAGGAACCTAGTGTAATATGTCAATTAAATAAAGCTATTTTGTTATTAAAAAGGAGTTGTTGTTTATTAGACGCGCAGATCTAGGTCTGCATAGGATCAATCTAGCTAGAAATCCTACACTATGCCATTCGTACGTCCAATCAGGATTCTTTTGTTTGGCGTATGATACCATGTTGTATCAATGTGACAATGTCACCGGCATTTACCCGATAGTTCTCGCATGACACCAATGTGATACCACCGGACGGCATAATGTTAATAAAAATTTTATTTTGAAACTCGACTTACCCAAGTCGAAGCAGTGACACCGTGACAGGGACAGCAGGACGAAAACGCCGATCAGCAGTGCTCGTGGAGGACCCAGGTCCCGTCTAGGCTCGAGAACTGGCATGTTGCTGGTGACCTGAGCCATCGGCGAGCCGACAACCTGCTCCTCCTCATCACTAACTGTCCACGATCCTGACCGCATCGGTCATCGAGCACGTTCCTGGCATCCTGATGGCCGAAAGGCGGTGAGTGTTCTCGCCGATAACCTGCGCACAGTATAATCCCTGTTAATCCTCCGCAGGCGGAAACGTCGCTGACAGACGGTCGAAAACCGGTTGGCAACGCGACTCTACGTATTGACGTTAATGCGACTTGGCCATGGGAAAGAGACGGGACTCGAATTACCATAATCGTAGGCGTCGAAATTGGATAAAACGATAGGCGACAAGAAAGTTGACAGGCGTACGAATTAATGAAGGGATTAAGAGATTTTTCCCAGGTACAGTGTCTCGAGTTCGTATTTAATCGGCGATAGTGTCGATCGTATGTATCGTACCGTGACTGGGACGCGAGGCTAGGTAGAATTCGAGCCGATATCGTTCAGAGGACAATCGAAACTCTTTGAAACGGGTATAATTCGACCTGACGTTGTTCAGCCTTCCACAACTCGGTCGCTCTTTGAAATCGGTAGAACTGTCGAGCTCTCGCATCGATTCGCCCTGCTTGTTCGTGGAATAGCAAATCCACCTATGCCTCGCCGCGATGAAATTTCATTCCATCGCTGTTCGACTTAACGAAACTTAAATGCACCTAGATCCCCGACAGCGTACGAGGCATTCCAACTTCCCGCGACCAACGTTCCCAGTATCTATGATATTTGTGCTGGATTCAGCGAGGATTCATCGAAACCCGTGCGCGCAGTAGAATTCCTCCGTGATAAGTCAGACGTCGCAGCGGCGGGGTGAAATTTCGCGATACTCGAATGTTTCCCCATGGTTTCTTCGCTGCTTTGTCACACGATTGATCGACGAAGGTTCGGTTTATGGTATTAAACGCGGTTCAACCGGATCTTATTGTATCAGACGAGATCCCATCGAAGCCCGTTCGCGTTGAATAAGATCCAATCGGCTCCGTATCCGATGAGATCCAATCATGCTCTATTCGTATCAAATCAGGCCCTACGACTCATCGATGTGTCGGATAAGACTAGGTAGGTCCCAATCTACGCGAATAAGGACGTTCAGTGCCTGATCGACTTTCAAATCGTAGGATATTCTACTTATTTGTCCCATTTCGAGTTCCCTAACTCGATGATTAACGTATCAAAAATTCAACAGGTAAAATCGATGCCTCTTCATTGAAATATTTTCTATAACTACGTATTTGAAATCGCGCAAATATGGCACTCGAATTTGGTTATTTCCGTCACGGTAAATTTTCGTGCCGGGGTTAAAGGAATTATTTCTGTTGATTAAACTTATCGATATAGCGAAAAGTGGTTGAGTTCGTTAAGGAAGGCGAAATATTATTCGCGCTTCGAGAATACTTTTATCTCGAGGATATTGAACTTTTCACCCCGATGTAGGTCAGATCCGGTTCTAAAACAGTGTACAAGAAATCTCACAAAGTGTACGTAGACGTGGAATCACGTGTGTCCCGTATGAATAATTCATTAATGTAACTTCGTCGGGTATAAAATTTTAATTGCAACTTCGTTATTAATGAACGCTATCGTTCCCGGAGAAAACGTTAAGAGACCGTGTAATGGCAATTGCTTTACACGAACACGCGGCTTACGCGACCCGCACATGCAGACGATGATGGACGACGACCGGCGTTGCAAATGCGCTTCGCGTTGCTACATTACCGCCTCGCGTATCTCGCGGCCACCCTAACGTCGCGTTGTCTCTGTCCAAACCGAGTTTCCCCTCACGAATATTCCCCTCTCCATTCGTTTCCCTCGAACACAAAGAAACGGAATTAATCCTCCGATTGTGATCGGCGAAACATTTGCGCGAGAGAAGAGAATTCTTCGCGTCGGTATAATAATTTGCATACGCTGAATTTTCCTCGCTGCGAGCTTTTCTTTTACCAACACCGGTGTGTATATCCCTCTCTCGCTTTATTCCTGCATTTCTATCATTTCACATGGATATTTTCGTCTCCTTCTGCTGCAACTTCGAATGTTTCTTCGGCGTCAAACACTTTATTTTCGCATCCCTAGGATTCCGCATTGCATACTCCTCATTCGCAGGGAATTTCGACCATTTCTGAATCCTTTGTACTACACACGCGATATGCTCAATCACGCGATGGTGATACGAAGGAGAAGCATGGAGGTTCTCAAAATTTCGGAGGAATTTTTACCTCCGAAAGAGGGATGTTGCAGCAGGGATGGAAAATTCTCTCATTTACCGAATTCAATCGCCGTTAGCATCCGTTAGGCGTACACTTCCGCCGTTTAGTCCTGCACCCCGATTTCTGCCGCGCTATAGATTCGTTTGAAACTCCTAGATATTCCGACCGCGTCGTCCCATGTAGGAAGTTCGTGTACAACTATGTACGTATGTAGTTCGAGCGGCTGGAACGCTTGTACGCGCTCGAGGGAGGGGGAAAAGCGCGAGGAAGGGGGAGGGGGCTCTAAACAATCCGGCTATAGCCTTGGCGGGGCCAGAAATAATTAGTGGCTGCACGACTTTAATCTAGCGACATTATAGCGGCATTAAAACCGTATGTGATGTATCAAGCCCGTGTTTACGCAGCGCGGATTCGCCTGGCGCTAATTGAATGCGACTTAACTTTTGCATCCTTGCAAGTAGAAACGTAGCGCGTTGGTCGGACGTGCGAGCAAAAGCGCTTCAGCCGGGAACAACGATTAAATTCCCCTCCTGTTGCGTCTTTCCAAATTTATCGCGTCGTTTCGTTAAGTTTAATCGGTATTTTCAAAATGGCGGCTCGACATTTGCGTATACGCGAATATGGACAGGCCGATCGAGAAGGGAAATGTTTTCAAGACGGATGGTACCTGGAGCGAAAAGAATTGCTAAAAAGTATGGGAAAGATTAATATTTTTCAGAGAGTCATGGACAACCTTTCGTGCAGGTTAAAACGGGTGAAATAGAATTTTTGAGGAAGTATGCAATTTGACGAGAATGCGTGGAAATGGAAGGAAATGCAGGAAATCCCGTGTAACCAGAAAAAGAAGAAACGACGAGATAATCCATTATTTTTATACAGCGCGATAGCTCCCGAAGCGAGCAAGTCACGCGTCCAAAGTGCGAGCAAAAAATTGCACGTGAATTTAAAAATATTCCTCTTTCGAAACACATTTTTGCGACACGGTTTCCCCTCGTTCACCGAATAATAATAACAACAACAATAGGCATGGCGAAGCTTTTTATCATACCGTATACGTAATATCGGTAATCGTGTTTCAATTATACTCGAGGCTATATAGAAGGGGAAATAACGGCGGATACGTGTATTTACTCGGTCGTGCTATACACGGGAAACGGGATGCTGGAGAATTTATATGGTATAAATATATGATGGCAAAGTTCAGTATCACCGGCGCGGGAAGAACACGTCTCTGTTTTCCGTGTAACGTTTCAAGGATGCGAGGCTAACCCCGTGTAGTATCTGATATATAGCTATAGAATACGAAGAGGCTCGTAAAGCCGTCAGAAACAAGTGTTACGTCCTGTATTGAGGTTGTAAGATATGGCGGTATGCATGTACCCGAAACCTATAATGGAACTTCCAGATCGGACGCTTTGAATAGCCGATCACGTGGCCGCGCGTAGAAAATTACCCTTGCACGTTGGCCAGCCACCGACGAAAGTGGTTCGCTGTAACTGGAAATCAGGTGAAACCGATGCAAGATGTAGGACAACGAGACTTCGTCCAGCTGGAACGCGTGGGAAAGAATGAAGGGATGATTGAAAATGAAAAAGGTTCAAGATGGATAAAAATGAACGAAGAATAAATAAAAGGAAGATATATCACCGTTTAAACGACCATTTTCCGCGTTTAATCCTGCTTTGGACTATATACAAGGTGTTCCAAAATTCACGCAAGTAATTTTGATAGAAAACACAGGTTTTTAATTAAAAATTGAAAATATTGCTGAACAATGCAGACGCGTTGTTCTTTCGCATAGCCGCCATTTTCAATAACCCTAAGCTGTCAGCTGTCACGCCGTATTTCTTTTTTCGTTGACAACGCTTTACACCATAAATGGAGTAAAATTCAAATCTTGCGTGAATTTTGCGACATCGTATATAGAGCTATATGTGGTTGGTTAAAGGGTGATATATATAGGGTGAGTTACTACATTTTGGCTTTTACGTATACTCTGATTAGGTTTATTCCGATGATACTAGTTTTATTGTAGTGATGGTGGTCATTAATATTTTTTCGAATGGAATCATAAATTTTTCATGTACCCCGATATTCCTTACGAAAAGGTGTTAACCTATTTATATTAAAAATTGTTAGTTTAGGAGATATTTCAATTTTGACAAGTCTAAACAACTTTTATCGCTACGAATATTCCCTCAACTCTCTCGAAAAAGGATTGTCCTTAGTATTCCCTAGTTGTCCTTAAAAACTACCCCCACTCCGATCTCTGAAAAAATTTAACACTCGTTTCCTCTCATTTTCTCCCTCGTGACCCTTTCTTGTTTAGGGTCCTCAGGCCCGCGACACTTCGACAAATGAAAATAAAGGAGGACGAATAAAATGAGGAAGAGGAAGAGGAAAATGGTCGAAAGGTAACCACGGTCGGTATTCCTCGCCTCCCTTTACTCTCACTCTAATTATTCGCAGCTATCGATCGTTAGCCAATAACGAGCGTGGAACAGATGGAATTACGCGCGCCCGTAGACCGTGAGTTGTTAGAGCGACACGACAATGCGATAGATCGTTGAACTGTGACGCCGTTGTCGTCGAACGTGGAAAAAAAGTTTCGTTACGTTCTCGCTTTGCGAGTCGAAATGATTTCGTGAATGGAACAGCGGGGATTTCGGATCTTTTTTGTATGCAACGGTTGAACATTTAAATTGCGGGGCTGTTGGTGCTCGAGCTTGCGACTTGCAACGAATTCTGCAGCCGAGCTTGCAAGTTTTCCTTGCTTCGCTTTCAGCCGGTGCGTATTTAAATTTCCAAGCCTTTGAAACTCGAGCTTACGGGATTCAACGATTT